CCCCCCCCCCCCGCCCCGTTACCAACACCCCCCGCCAGAAGGGCGCATGTGTTACAGTCCATGAGCCTGTGCATCCCCGGACTCCGATTGGTGGAGGAAGTGCCAGAGTTCATTGCTTCCAATATCCCAGAGCGGTTTCCCTTAAAAACCCTGGGCCCTGGGCATACAGCCCCGCTCCATGAATGAGCGCTCTGCCCTGAGAAGAAGGGGGAGCCCAAGGCTAATGAATGTCCTGAAATGGTACCAGTTGCTCGTCAGGGCACTGCCATCTGGGGAGGTAAGCGTGTGTGTTGAGTTCTGTGCAGTTTTATCACGCTCATGGGTATAGGCGCGTGTGACTGCCACCAGGGCCCCGATAAAGACCAGTTCTGACACGGAAGGGCCCTTTCAGAGTCAAGCCGTCTCCCCCCCGCCCTAATCCCTGCCACCCACTGATCTGTTCCGGAGACTTTTGAATTTCAAAATACTGGATCAGGGACTGCCAGCCTCCATTTGCTTATGTGCCAAGGTAGAGGTGACGGGCCTTAAACACCCCGGGTCACCAGCAGCTCCTGTAGCTACATTACACGAATGGAAGCATCTGGATGGGAAGAAAAGCATGTGAAGCACTAGGCCCAGGAGGCAAGTAAATTGAAATATTAACTGCAGATCTCTCTGGGTGGTGGAATTATGAGTTTTTTTATGCTAGTCTTCCGTCCTTTATTTAAAAAAAAAAAAAGGTTTAATAGAAGCATTTTCTGCAATCAGATAAAGAATTGAGACTTCTTACAGGAGACAGTACATACATGGGCTACGGGTAGTGCAAGCATCCAGAAGGAGGTTCGCCTGGCATGGGTCCAGCTCTGCCACCTGCTGGCAAGTCCCTCACCTGCGAGCCTGCTCCCTCCCCTGTAAGATCAGGGTGCTAGGTGCACCCGCCTCACCGCGTTGCCAAGAATCCCATGTATGAAGAGCTGGGACAGAACATGCTCAGGGCACAGTCACTGTCGTTTGACAAATAACGAGTTGTACCTGGCGGCCTGGGCTTTGCAGCTGATAGGCATAAGGAAGCCATTCTTGCCGGAGTCAGGTAGAAGCCTACTGGGGATTTGCTGGAGGTGGGGCGGGGGGAGGTGTTGAGGCAGGGGTGGAATCAGGGTCATTGAGTTGGGAAGAGGCTGCCCGCAAGCTGGGGGGTCACAGGCTCACGGTTTTTTGTCCTTTTTCCAGGTGATGGTCGGTATGGCAGTGACGACTCTGAATCCGGTGGGTTTGTGTCCCGAGGAGACCTAGTGCCGGCCTTCCCCTGTTTCCAGGAGAGAGCCACCCGGCCAGCAGCAGAAGGATACAGTGATTTAAGAGAATGAAGCATGAAAATCGGGGTCCCCGGGGAGGTGGCCCCATGGGAAGGAAGCCTGCTGGCCTGAGAGGTGGAAATCCTTATGGAAAACGAGAAGCGCTTGGCAGATGCCTTAGATAGAAGTGGCTTTGCCCTGTCACACTGGCTTGGGGGTCGCGGGGGTTTGAACGAGCTTAGCTCTCGGTGGCGAGAGGAGAGCCAGGTGCCTGAGCCGGTGTCGCGGGGCTGTTGGCCTGGTGCCACGTCTCTTCACGTCTCCCCCTCTCCCCCTGCTTGCCTAGGAGTGTCGGCCGAGGCCAGCACCATCGCGGGTGTGGCCAGCGCCCTGGCCATGGCCCTGATCGGCGCGGTCTCCAGCTACATCTCCTACCAGCAGAAGAAGTTCTGCTTTAGCATCCAGCGTAAGTGCAACCACCCTGTGGCCTCCAAACCAAGGGGCCAAGGCCTTTCAAGGGAGAGGGGCAGAAACGGGGGCATGATTCGGGTCCATTCCAGACCGACTCCTGAGCGGGCTTTCCGGGGTGGACGGGTCGAGGCGGGACCCAAGTTTAAACTGGCTGTGTTTCTGTGGGCGGCGCGGGGGGACGCTGACGTTTGTGTCAGAGCAGGAGAGGGCCCGGGCTTTCCATTCGGCCTCCGGTCTCGCCTGCTCACACCGCCGGCCTCCTCGGGAGCTCAGGCAGGGGTCGGGGCTCTGAGAGCCAGCGCGCCGCCGCAACGATGAGGGCTTTCAAGGAGCAGGAGGGCAAGGGGCAGAATGGGGGGGGGGGGGTTTGCACCCCCCCCCCGCATGCTTCACATGCAAAAGGTTGCTTTCATTTTATACTGTAGCCGAGCGTGTCTAAGCTGTAAGTCGAATAGTGACAAAGCGAGCCCCATCTTGCCAGCCTGTGGGGACCCGGCGAGGGCGAGCCCAAGGAGGGCGCCCTTGCTCGTTTCACCAGCACGGCTTTGATGTGTCGCTGCTTACTGACGCTGTGTCTCTAGGACTGGCGATTTTTAGTTCAAGTGCGAGGGCCTGGCTCAAGCCTGGCTTTCCTCTTTCCTAAAGCTTAGGAGCACCTCCTCTGAGGCTTCCCCTCCCTGCCCTTTCTCTGGGCCTCCGCCTGGAACCAACAAATGAGCCTGAGCCCCAGAATGCTTAGATGTGGGTAATGCGGAAGTCTCCACCTCTTTGTTCCTCTGGCGATTATGTTTGCTTCTTACTCTTGTACAGCGTTCTTGACCAGGGCCACCACATATGGTTACACAGGCTGCGCGGGGTTCATGTTTCAGTATACAACCTGCGCAACTGTTCATGGTCGCCCCACTTGAGGTCCTATTGACCCACCTTGGACCCACAAGCTTAGCTGTAGAGTGGTGTGAACAGGGAGGTGTCAAGAAGGAGTATGGAACTGGAAGCTGGATTGTCCTTAGAGCTGTCTCTTGTCCTAGTTCAAAAGCAAATGGAGTGGCTTAAAATGACAGAATCTATTCTCTCACAGTTCTGGAGGCCAGAAGTCCAAGATCAAGGTATCAGCAGGGTTTGTGCCTTCTGGAGGCTGTAGGGGAGGATCCTTCCTTGCCTCCTCCAGCTTCTCGTGGCTCCGGGTGTCCCTTGGCTTGTGGTCCCACCAATCCGATCTTTGCCTCTGGCTTCACATGACTTTTTCCTGTGTCTGTGTGCCTTCTCCTCGTCTCTTGTAAGGACACTTGTCATCACAGGGTCCACCCTAAATCCAGGATGATCTCATCTTGAGATCCTTAATCACACTTGCAAAGACCGTTTTCCAAATAAGGTCACATCCATAGGTGGTAGGGGGTGGAGGACGTGGCCACGTCTCTGGGGGCTGCCATTCCTGCAGTACGGCATCATCACCCTAACAGGGAGATGCTCATGATCCGTGCTGATCAGAGCTGGGCAGGTGGCTCGTATGCCAGGGCACGGGGCTTGGAGCCGTGAGGAGGCATGTTGGGTAACAGAGTTACAGTACGAACGGCTTCCCCGCCACTGCCGAGTGCTGGATGTGGGGTCCCGCCCTGAGACCTCCCCTGTCAGCCTCAGGGCCCAGGTTCGAGGGCACCCTGACTTTATCAACAAGGAAACAGAGGCTCAGAGGACTGTTGAAAGAACTGAGTCCAGATGTGCCGGATCCACAGGGGAGCCTGAGACCGGGAGAGGGAGGGCAGAGCAGTGAAGAGACCGGCGGGGGGCGCACCAAGTGAAGTGAAAATACCTGATTTTCACACTTGTTTTCTAAAACAGGTGTGAGGCTTTGCAAATTGGATTAGCAGGCAAAGCCAAAGAAAACATGAGACCGTGACGGCCTTGGCATATAGAGTTGAACGATTTATGTGATATTTGAGGGAGAATAAACCGAAGAGAGGGGGTGGTGAGGACAGCTGCGGGAGGACCGGGCTCTGCCGTCTTTCTGAGGGCAGCCTGGAGGTGGCGGCCAGTCTGCTGGTGGGGGAGGCAGCTGTGCCCCCCTCCTGCTGCAGACTTCACACCACACCCGCCAGCCCCACGCCCCCTCAGCCTCTGCAATCTCACTGTCGCTCCGTTCTCCACCCCCCCCCCACCCCGCCGCCCACTTGCCCCTCCGTCTGTCAAGGATGTCCTTGTCCTTGCTGGACCCACACTGTCCCGAGTCCCTTCCCTGGACACGCTCGTGCAAGCATGGTCCTCACACAGAAGGGAACCGAGTGTGGCGTATCCCCCAGATTTGAAGACCTCCCTTCTGTACCCACCCCTGCGTTATCAGCACTCTTCAGAACTTGTCAGTAGTCTCCGCTCCTGTCTCCGAGCCCTCCCGCGTGAGTGGGTTCCCCCTCCCGGCGCTGGTGCCCCCTGCACAGGCCTGCCCTGGGGCCGCACCTCTCCATCAGCACGGCCACGGCCTCTGCCTGTCTGGGGCCAGGTCTCCCCATCCTCCATCGGGATGGTTCCGTCAGCCTCCCGCCTGCCCCGCTCTCCCCCGTACTCCTCTCTGCTCGGAGCAGCCAGAGGGACGGCTCTGCCTCGACCTCGCAGGCTCCCCGCTGCCTTGCTGGTCCTGGTCCGGACGCTAAGCTTGGCCGCTCAAACCCTTCCTGGTTTGGCTCCAACCACGCCAGCAGCCCCTGTCCCCAGAGGCCATACTCCCTCCCCGAGCGTGCCCTGCTCTCTCCGCTGGCCCTCTTCTCACGTAGCTGGGCTCATCCGCTCATCCTTGGGCCTGGGGCACCCTCCCGGGGAGCCTTCCTGCCCTCCGGGCCCGTGGGACTCGCGGGATGCCGAGGCTGCGTGCTGCCACAGCGCCCTCTGCCGGCCGGGCCTGGAGCCTGCGGGGCCGCCTTGGGCTGGGTTCCTGCATCTGTGACTGCCCACCGCCCCCGCATCGCGCCAGGGACTGGCAGCTCCGTGGGGGACCGTGTGTGCTTCATTCACGGATGTGTCCTTGGCACCCAGGCCGGAATCGGGAGGAGCCCCATGGATGTTTGTGGAGCAACTAAGCCCCCTGAGAAGCTGGGGTCAGGACTTCCCATCCTACCCTTTCTGCCCGGCCACGGCCAGCACCGCGTGGAGGTGACAGAAGGCAGAGCAGAACCTGCTCTGCATCCCGCGCACCGGGAAGCCCCAGGGAGATGGGGCATGGCTGCCGGGGTTGGCGGGGGGGCTTTGGGGACCCTCTGCTTTCTGTCTCTGCCCTCAGTGACGAAGTCACAGTGTGACAGGGTCAGTGCATCTCGCAGAAAGCCCCTGTGGTCTGTTGCGGGGGGCTAACTTCTTACTCCAGGGTCCTAAGCTTTGTGTCTTGCCTTCAGATGCAGCAGAAGGTCAAGGTAATGACATGCTCCGACTTTCTCATTTTCCTCTTCTGCTTTGGCCACAGTGCATCATTGTCCACCCTCCCCACCCGCTGTTCTTGCTCCTCGTCCCCACCCTCCACCCCGAGCCCTTCCCTGGCCCTCACCGACTTGGCTGTGACCACGACCACCTTTAGCTCACTCTGTCGTCTTCTGTCTCTGGGCCCCGCGCGGCTGGGGTGGGGGGTCCTGTCTGGGAGGCCGGGGCCCGCTGAGTGCGTGCCAGGCTGGCGGGGGGCAGCGATCGGGAGGCTCGGGTGCATCTCCCAGCCCACGGCCCTCGGGCAGGAGCCGCTTCCGCTGGCTCCCTCACCGGTCTTGCCCCACACGGAGCCAGCCACCCCTGCCAGCAAGCAATGCCCACATTCTTCCTGGGCCCTTCTGGTGTCTACCTTGAGCTCGAAAGCACCAGGGCAGGCAGGCGTCCTTTTCTGAGGTACGGGGAGCCTGGAGGTAGCCCCGGGTGGCAGAGGGACTTTGTGCCTGCTCAGTCGTTTGGTTGCTGAGAACCGTGGCCCGATTTTCCCACAGGCCCAGGGCTCTGATAAGGCTTCCAGCCGTCCCCTTACCCAGGGCCGTGACACGGACTCTGGACTCCCCCTAAGTAGCAGCAGGCTGGGGTCCGCTCGGAGTCCCGGGTGCTCAGTGGCCTGAGTGCCGGCAGGCAGAGGAAGCTTTGAGAGTCCCCGAGCCCCTCTTGGAAGTCAGTGGGGGGGGGGGGACGCCCATATGAGGGACCAGAGCAGCTCCCCGTGCGCACTGGGCCCTCCGCGCGGCGGTGCACACAGCGCTTCTCCCGGCTGGGGGAGTTAGCGGCCCGAAGGGGCGGGTGTGGCCTGGAAGCGACAGGACACTTTGCCAGCCACTCTGCCCTGAAGCCTGTTCTGCCATCTGCCCTTCTCCGCCCCGCCTCTGCCCGTCCCTCGTGCGGCGCTTGGCTCCCCCCACCTCGCTGGACCCTGGGCTGGCATGCGGACCCGTGGGTGGTGCTGAGCCTACTGTCTGGGCCCCTGTCTCCCGGGTGGTGGCACCTGCCCCAGGGGGGGTGCGGGGCCGAGGCCTTTGCTGTGCGTCCTCTGAGGACCATGACGAGAACCCCCGGGGCTTGGTCAGGGGCCCTTCGGTTCTATGTCCGTCACCACCTCTGCTCTTTGCCCTTTGCAGAGGGTCTGAATGCAGACTACGTGAAGGGAGAGAACCTGGAAGCCGTTGTGTGTGAGGAACCCCAAGGTGAGGCCTCACGGGCCCTCGTTTCTTGCTGCAGGGCTGTTAGTCGGTGGGCCCGGCGCTAAGCGGAACGGTGCGAGGGAAGCACAGAGGCGTCCGTTTCTAGAATTTCCGGCCAGAACAGGCGGCTGCCGGGGCCCAGGGCTCATTGCACTCTGCCCTCGATGAGCCAGATTCCAGCTTCATGAC